AAGGCTGAAGCATAAGGATCTCCTGAGGCTAGTAGGTTAAGGTTGTGGTGACCTTGAGGATGCCACTGCACTCCAGCCTGGGTGATAGGCGATGATGAGACTCCAATTCAAAAAAGAAATGTCTTCTTGCCTCTTCACCCCTGGCTGCTTCCTGTCACTTTCCAGGGTCTCCGAGGCTCCTCTGCATCCTTAAGCTCCCAGGAGGACCAAACAGGGCTCTGGACACCTCCATGCAAACCCCGGCTCCTCCTGCCCCAATCAATTAACATGACACTCTACATTAAGTACCAACTGGACCAATTTTCTGCTGTAATTAAAGGCTTGGCAGACGTGCTCCTTGCTCATCCATGATGAGTTTATCAACCTCCAGCTCTGGAGGAATGTGGAGGCAGGAAAGAAAGAAGAACCAAAGAGATTGCTGTGGGATTGGCAGTGAGGGCCTGGCTGGGTTTGGGACTGTCCTGCCCACTCTCTGGGCTCTGGCAAGGAACAGTCAGACATGTACAAAAGCGTCAGCATCTTTGTGTCTGCTGCTTCTGCAGTGGCACTCAAAAGCAGTTACTGCCACCATGCTGACCAACTGTGGGACTGGGACTTCCCTCCTATAACTGAGGGCATTTCACTGTTCCATTTCCCAGATGGATGGCAGGTATGACAGAATCCAGAAATGCAGCCTCTTCCAGCTCTGTTGACTTGGCTTATATGAGATTGCTTGTTACATAGCATCACCAAGGCTATCCTGACTATTATGTGTTATAGCCCCACTTTCTAGTGGGCAAAATTGAGTCTTCCTCATCCAGGAGAGGCCATGAAGGGTTCATGGCTCACAGCCTTAGGGACTGGAAGTCAATGCCTAGTACATCATGACAGCTCTGAGAGTCTGGTCCTCTCTGTTCTTTAGAGATCCGGGAACTATCACCTCCCCAGCCTTTTATTTTATTTTATTTTATTTATTTTGAGACAGGTTCTTGCTGTGTTGCCCAGGCTGGTCTTGAACTTCTGGCCTCAAGCAATTCTCTCACATCAGCCTTCCAAAGTGTTGGGATTACAGGTGTGAACCACCATGTCTGGCCTAAAATGTTTGCTGAATCCATCGTTTTGTTTTTTCCACAATTTCACAGAGTTGGAGTCATACGGTATGTAGCATTTCAGATTGGATTCTTTCACTTAGCAGTATGCATTTAAGGTTACTCCATGTCTTCTCCTAGCTTCGTAGATCATTTTAAAAATTATCTTTCTTTCTTTGAGTTGGAATCTCACTCTGCCATCCCAGGCTGGAGTGCAGTGCCTGATCACAGCTCACGGCAACCTCAACCTCCTGGGCTCAGGCGATCCTTTTGCCTCAGCCTCCTGAGTAGCTGAGACTACAGTTACATACCACCATGCCTGGCTAATTTTTTAAATTTTTTATAGAGACGAAGTCTTCCTATGTTGCCCAGACTTGTCTCGAACTCCTGGGCTCAAGTGATCCTCTTGTCTTCATCTCCCAAAGTGCTGGGATTACAGGCATGAGCTGCCATGCCTGGCCCATTTCTTCTGATTGCTGAACATAGTTCATTCTTTACTTTTTAACATTCTTGTCATCCACTGTTTGGTCACCTGAATTTTATTGCTTTGGAGGGAGGGGCACAACCTAAGAGTCTCTGGGAAGCAATGACCTCATGGAACAAGGAACCCCTGTTGGGCATCTGGAATGGAGTTGCTTAAGAAACATCCCAAGTTGGCAAACAGGTGACTGGTCCTTCCATCATCAGGCAGTGGAGATGATCTGTAGTCATTCTCTGTGGTTCTGATGCCAGGGAAGGGAATGTGGTGTGTCGTTCTGTGGGTTATTTGCCTTCACCACAGAAAAGCAAAACCCTACTTCTAAATGTGTACATGGACAATGATGGATAGAAAGATAGAGATAGATGATAGGTAGATAGATAGATAGATAGATAGATAGATAGATAGATATAGAGGGATAGAGATGACTTATATATCCCTTAATGCCTTTCTGCACAAAGCCTTGATAATTATTTCATACTTTAAACTTTCAGAAAAATAATTAATAGTTTAGTGAAAAAACTTTAGTGAAAAACATATATACAACTTCTAAATACATTTTCCTCATTTAAATTATATTTTTAAAGCACATAAAATGTGACAAATGTACTTATCAAAATTTGAGATCCAGTAAGGAAACTGAAATGACTCAGCATCTCAAACTAAATTTAAAGGTCTGAAAAAGGTAAAGAAGGATTATAACATCTTTAGGTTTTAAAGGTAATCATGCAAATCAACAATTATAATACTATGAGAAAGCGATTGGCAGTAGTGGGAAACTGTCAGGGGAGGGAGATGGGATTGGTACTTGAAGGAAACTGCTAGGGGAGGGAGGGGCATACCTTCTCAACAAGGGTAACTGCATAATCAACGTTGGTATACCTAACCCTGAATTGTACTCCACATCCTTATTTAAAAAAAACACATTGAGATACCACCTAACCCCAGTAAGAATGGCCATCATTGATAAAACAAACAACAACAGATGCTGGCAAGGATGCAGAGAAAAAGGAACACTTCTACACCGCTGATGGGAATACCAACTAGTGCAACCTCTTTGAAAGATAGTGTGACAATTTCTGAAAGAACTAGTAATTGACCTTCCATATGACCCAGCAATTCCCCTTTCAGGAGTATACCCACAGGAACTCAAATCATTCTACAGAAAAGATACCTGCATGAGTATGTTTGTTGTAGCTCTATTCACAATAGCAAAAACATAGAACCCACCATGTTCCCCATTGAAGCTGATCTGGATAAAAAAATGTGGTACATATAAACAATGGAATATTATGCAGCTATAAAGAAGGACAAACATATGGACTTCCAAGCAACTTGGATGGATTTAGAGTCAATCATACTCAGTGATCTATCACAGAAACAAAGAACACGGTACGATATGTTCTCATTCATAAATGGACCTTGAACAATTATAACACTGTAAGAAAGGAATTGGCAGTAGTGGGAAACTGTCAGGAGAGGGCAAAGAGTAAGTCTCATCTGTGTGATATTAAAAGAGACATGCAAGGGCAGAAGGAAAACTATTAAGAGTTTAGTCGGTAGGATTGAGAATATCCCCATTTTGTCAAAAATGAAATGAACTGACTCATGGAAAGTTGCAGCATAATGGTGGATTTGGGATTGGATCCTAGGGCATTTCTTCAATATTATGTGTCTCTGAATTTGAAGAGTATGTTTCTTAGGGAATAGGACAAAAGAAAAATTTTTCCTGGAAGTAATGATGTATCACCTTCCTTTAGCAAACCCAACCAATGAAGTTGTAACTGAGATGTCTCAATTGATCCTGTCTTGTACATGTCAAGATGTCTTCTTAGCACTCTATATGCCATGGAACTGAAACCTGGCATTAAAAGAAAATTCAATCGTTTTGGTACAAATGGTTTTGGTTATATGGATCTATTATATAGTGGTAATGAAGCCTGGACCAATCACCTCCACTAGTGCATGTTGTACCTAATAGGTAATTTGTCATCTCTCACCCCCTTCCCCCTCCCCTCTCTGAGTTGTCAATGTCCATTGTGTCATTCTATATGGCTGTGCAGACTCAAAGCTTAGCTCCCACTTATAAGTTAGAACACGTAGTATTTGTTTTTCCA